CGCCCTGCGCCCCCCTGCAGCCGTTCCCAGACCGCCGGCGCCGCGCGACATCCAGGCGGCCGTCGCCCGCGACGTCGGCCCCCCGGAGGGCCGCTGCGGCGCCGCGCCCTGGGGCGGCACATAGAGCGGCCCCAGGGGAAGGGCATGCACCGAGAGCCCCTGGGCCCCTCCTCGATCGACTCGCGACGTCGGAGGCCCGGGGGGCGTCAAAGGATGAAATATCCATGTTCCTGGTTCGAAGTGGCGGCCACGCGCGGGCGCGGCAAAGAAAGCTCATCTGTCGACCCCGAGCTTATCTGGGCACTGATTCCACGTTTTTGAAAGCAGACATCCGAGCGCCGAAGCGACGCCAAATTCTGCGCGACAGCTGATGATTCGTTGGACGAAACCGAATCGAGCGCTGCTCCGGGCCCACCCACTGCTGATCTTTGGAAGACAATCGGACCACCAAGAGGAATGCACGGCTGCGACGACGCCGAACGAAAGCGCGATGGAAGAGCTTTCGCGCCCCGTGCGAGTGGACACGGATGTCGAAGAGCTTCTGCACGGCAAACCGTCGCGCGAGACGCTCGAAAGGCGCGCGGATGTGCGATCGGATGCGCATCAAGGGCTTGCCGAACGGCGGCGTTGCGTGCTCTGCGAACGCCGCCGTCCAGGTGCTGCTTCGACTCGGCCCCGCCCGACGAGCGGTGCTGAGTCGCCGCGGCGCATGCGGCGGAAGGTCGGGGGCGCGGTGTGGGATCTGCACATCGGCAGAGCAGGCGACGCTGACGAGCGCGTCTTTGAACGAGCTGCCAGTCCACGGGCGAGAGCAGGTGCCGGCAGCGACAGAAACCCTGAACGGGTTGTTTCAGCACGGGCGCGCCGACGATGTCCAGAGGGAATCGCTTGCGCGACGCGAGCGAGTTACGGGGCGAGATTCTGGAAGCAGCTTGTCGCGCCGAGGCGACAGCGCTGACCAGGGCGGGGGGTGGTCCGCCCCGAGCGTCTTTTGTTGACGAGTGGGTTCTGGGGCGCGCTGTTCGACAACGGCGGCGCTGCGTGGCCGAGCGTCGGACTTGCGCGGGCGAGAACGGTTCACAACGATACAGGCATGGGAGCACGCGCAAAACACAGAAGCATTGAGCCTCGGTGCTCTCGCGGCATCGCACGCGCGCGCGGGGCATCGCGGACTTCACCGCCCGAGATGTCGATCGCGCGCGTGTGCAAGTTCCAGGGTGCAATATTGTCACTTGGGCGAGAGGAGCTAAGATGTTGCTTATTCTGGCTGCCCTGGAGTGGGCGCGATGAGGTTCGTCGACGATAAGGGTGTGCGAGCGGGCTTCGAAGCGCTCGCTGGCTGCGCGACAAAAAAACAACGTGGCGCATGTAGCGTTGGCGACGGAAACGCAGGGCCCGTCGTCGCTCCATGGCGCCGCGGGCGACTCGTCTTCGGTCGACGTCGATCGTCGGGGCCGCCCGCGCAGGTGGCAACGCTAAGGCCGAAGGGGCCTGCGCGCGCGCTGCGGGAAGCACAGGGGGCAAACGCGGGGCGAGCGGAGGCGATGACGGTGAAGCGGCGGCAAAAAAGGCCGCGCGTGGATAGTTCCGCGGAGAGGGGCGCCCGCGCGGCGGCGGCCAGGGTGTCGAGCGGCCGCGGCATGCCCCATGACGCAAGTGATGCATTAGATGCCAGCCGGCGCAAGAGTCAGCCCCGCGGTGGTCCCGGGTGGGGGTGGTACCAGGCCACCGCGGCTGCTTGCCTGCGTTGCCAGCAGGTGCGAAGCACGCGCTCAGAGTCAGGTCTCCATCGGGCCTCCCAGGGGGCCCGTTGCAGAGCACTTCGAGCACGTTGTGGGCAGCGGTGAAGGAGGGCGCGGCAGGAAGGACTTTTCATTTCCTCCGCCATTCGGCGCGTTTGCTGAGCCAGGTGTCGCCAGGGGGGAGGGGGGAGATGCCGCTCAGCCCGGGCGGCGACGCAGAGGGCACCTCCGAGAGACGGCCCTCTGCTGGCCTCGACCTCAGGTTGCTGGATGGCGCGCCGGATGCGTAGCGCACCCTTGCTTGTAGTCACGGGGCCAGCAGCCCGCAAGGCCTCGGGGACGCGTGGGTCGCAGACATGGCGCGCAGCACAGTGCGCGAGGGAGGCCCATGTGTCCCTAGCCGCTTGGGAGGCGCGTGCCAGGCCCCGGAAGTCCCCGCGGGCCGAAAGCAAGCGCGGCGATTGCCCGGAGCTGGCGACAAGGCACTCGGGCGCTTCACGAACGGCAAAGCGTGGGCAGAGGCCAGCGAGTAGTCCGACGGAGCGCACCGAGTGCACCCGACCCCGAGGGCGACCGGCAGATAAGAGCGGGCAAGGATTTCTTGCCCATGGTCCAGCATGACTTAACGGGCAGGGTATGCTTCAAGAGACGCGACATGGGAGTTCCAGATGGCGGGTCTCTGTCCTGCACAAACACGCACGCACGCACACGCGCACGCACGCACGCAAGAAGGCACGCACGCACGCACGCACGCACACGCACACGCACACGCACACACACACAAACACACACACACACACGAACACGCACACACACACACACACACACGAACACGCACACACACACCACACCACACCACACCACACCACACCACACCACACCACACAACACAACACAACACAACACAACACAACACAACACAACACAACACAACACAACACAACACAACACATCACAACACACCACACCACACCACACCACAACACAACACAACGCAACACAACACAACACAACACAACACAACACAACACAACACAACACATCACATCACAACACACACACACAAACACACACACACACGAACACGCACACACACACACGAACACGCACACACACACCACACCACACCACACCACACCACACCACACCACACCACACCACACCACACCACACCACACCACACCACACCACACAGCACAACACAACACAACACAACACAACACAACACAACACACCACACCACACCACACCACACACAACACAACACAACACAACACAACACAACACAACACAACACAACACAACACAACACAACACAACACAACACAACACAACACAACACAACACAACACAACACACGCACGCACGCACGCACGCACGCACGCCGGCACACACACACACACACCGCATGGGGCATCTGCAGCGGGCCGCGTTGTCGTCGTCCGTCCGTCCGTCCGTCGTCTCCCCGTCGTCCTCGTCATCGTTCGTGGTCGCCGCCGTCCTCGTCGACTACGGCCGCCCCTGGAGTTGCTTTCGGGGCGCACAGGGGGCGCCAACCTTCAGCTCGCACCGCCCCCGCCGCGGAGGCGATGCCAAGGATCAGGGGGGGAAAAAACACACAGACACAATTAATCGTCGACCCCCCAGAAAATATAGGAAAATATGGGAAGTGGGGGGGAAGACGAAAACTTAGAAAATATGGGAAAACATGGGGAATCCTGCTATTTGTGTGTATTTATTTGTGTGTCCCAGGGCCCCTTCAGAGGAGCTGCCCGGGCCCTCCCCTGCCCGCCGCCGTGGCCGGGCCCGGGCTACCCCTGCCTGGGATGATGCGTCGGCAGTCTTTGGCGACGGGTCGCTTGTGTCGGTCGCCCGCCCCGTCGCCGGCCGCCGCGCGCCCAGGGAGCGCGCCCGGCTCGACCAGCCGTGCCGTTTTTTTGTTCAACCCACCCCAGGCAAGAGAGTTTGGGGGAAGGGCCCCCCCCCCCAAAAAAAATTACCCTGCGACGTACCCGACCCTTTCTACACGTGTGGCGATTGAATGCGCAACGCAAGCCCCCCAGGGGGCGGCGAGGTCTCGAGGTGATCCGCGTGGGACGTACCTCCGCTGGGCCTCCCAGGAGCCCACGAAAGTGGCGACAGTTGCGCAGATCGTAAGCCCCCCCCCCAGGGGGCGGCGAAGTCTCGAGGTGATCCGCGTGGGACGTACCTCCGCTGGGCCTCCCAGGAGCCCACGCAAGTGGCGACAGTTGCGCGGCGAGGTCTCGAGGTGATCCGCGTGGGACGTACCTCCGCTGGGCCTCCCAGGAGCCCACGAAAGTGGCGACAGTTGCGCAGATCGTAAGCCCCCCAACGTTGCCTCCGCTGGGCCTCCCAGGAGCCCACGAAAGTGGCGACAGTTTCGCAGATCGCAGCCCGACGGCACGAGAGAAGAGGAGAGGGGAACACAGGAGACAGGAGGGGAGGAGAGGCGGCGGCGGCGGCCTCATCAGGTGCACGGGTGTCTGTAACTCAGCGCCAGCGGAAAACTGCCCAGCACTGCTTAAAGACCCAAGCACCTCGAGTGCGCTCGAAAGCGGGCAGTGCCAAGGGGGGGGGCTTGAACGCCCCGCGGTGGACTCCAGCCTCGGAGATATCCCTGGAGCCACCGAGCGTCCCCGACAAAATTAGGATGCTACTACAGTAGGCCGAGACGAGATGGAACGCAAGCAAGAATAGATCTTAATTAATAGCCCAACACTATCCCTGCGTCCTTCGGTGGGGAGGAGGGGAGGAGGGGGGAGGAGGAGAAGGACGGGGCGACCACACTGCTTTATTCAAAACGAGTACCCAACCATAAGAGGGTTGGGAAAAACTCAGCCTGACGAAGGACCCAATGACACCATACGCAGCTGCGAGTGCCGCGAGGGAGATGAGACGAAGGAGGGGGGCGCGCAAACTCCGACTAGCGCACGCGGTATACCCTTCTGCCACGAAGCGTGTGAAGGGTGTGTTGGCATGAGTCGGGGGGACGCCTGCGAACGTCGCCATTGGGGCCTTCCGTGGAGCTCTTCATGGGGCCACGAAACGTGTGAGGGTGTGCCGAAATTGGGCGGCGGAGCCATGCGAACTTTCCCACTGGGGCCTTAGGTGGAGCTCCTTATAGGGCGGAAGTTGGAGGAAGTAAGAGTTGGCACCCCAGTCGGCATGTTGGGGTTCTAGGTCGCTGGAGTCTGCCATCTGGGGCGCTGAAGTTTCACACGCCCTCTGACCCCACAGGGATCGGCGGATAATTATTTTCGGGCGACCCTGGATTGTTTCCAAGAATACAGCGACTCCCATCTCGAGGATCCGGATCCGCGCGAAGCAGATACTCCCTGCTACAAGCGGGAGAAAGACCCCAAGAAAGACCTCGAGAAGCTGAGGCTGTTCTCGCTCAGTCAGACTCTGAACCTCAGGCGGCCGCTCGAGGCGGTCGGTGACGGGGTCGATGGCATGATCAAGGGGCACATCACTGTACGACAGCTGAGCCCCGAGGCGGACGCCCCCGGGGACGACCAGGACGGCGGCGGCGAGGAGGCGCAGGCGGGGCCGAAGCGGCGGCCCGCTGGCGGTGGCTGGTTCGGGATGAAGGACAAGATCGGGGGCGGAAAAGAGGGGGAGGGGGAGGAGGAGGAGGAGGAGGAGTCTCTGGAGTCTCTGCCTGATCGCGTAGCGATGTGGATAATTATACCTCCGCCACCCCTCTTGGGGTGCTGTGAGCTCTGGAGGCCTTCTCAGCTCGACTGAGGGCCTTCGGCCAGAGCCCCTTGGAAATACGCTTGAGGTATTCCTGCCCCGAGGGGGTGAGCTTACCGCAAGGTTCCCCGAGTTCCCCGAGAACCAACTGAACATAAGCTCCACACTTGACACAGAACCACAAATTCAGCCCAGCGTGGAACCGAGAACGGTGGCTACTGTGCACGAACCCCCCCGCGACATGGACCGACTTCCCCTGAGGGGCCTCCTTATAAGTGCCGTCAATGTTAAGAAGCTCAAAACATTCCGAAAGGAGCCAACTAGACCTCGAAGCCTTGCTGGAGGAACAAAAGCACCTAGTACATCGGGAGCCAGTGGGGTCGACAGAGCGCTGGGACCCAAAGAGAGCACAGGAACGAGGGGCAGGCGGCCGGTCGGCCTTAGCCGCCTGCCTCTTAGGGCGTTGCTCCCTCTGACACTGAAACTCCTGCCTCTGAGCCTCGAAGGTGTCGGGTGCAGTGCGAAGTGACCTCATGCGGACCTGAAAAGCTTTTCTTTCAGCCAGCGCTACCCGCTGGCGGCGTTCTGGTGCAACTCGTGCCTCACTTGCGGCAATGCCAGCAAGAGTGTCTGCAACACAATTGCCCACCGCCAAAGACGAGGCAATCCTCCCTTGGATGATGTCCTGTGGTTCGGCGTGAGGAGGTATCAAGATAACTGTGATCGTCCCAGTACGCTGCGCAGTCGCCTTCTTCAATCTCGACCAGAGGTCGGCGTCGCTGCCAGTAGGTGCCTGGGCCTTGCCGTGATGGAGATTGATATAGCAGGCTTCGTTGCCAGTGAAAAAGACGAGGTCCTGATCTGTAGCCTCCACTGTCGCGACGAGAGCGAGGAGCTCGCCCCTGGGTACCGTCTGATGAGGACCAGGTAACGGCCCCCAGAAAGCAGCACTCATCTCCATGTCGTTGTCCTCGAGGCTAGAGAAAATGGCGGCTCCTACACCCACCCTCCGAAGCTGTGGGTTGTTGGTGTCCTGGCCGCCGCTTGCATCACCGAAGGCGTAAAGTGTCGAATCAGCATGGGCACGTAGACATTGTGGGAAGAAGCGCTCGAAACCATGGCAGGACCACCGTTCATGTTGTGGCGGTTGTGGTACTGCTGTGCATGCTGCTGGCATTAGTCCCCTGGTCCAGAAACATTCGTACATGTCCCGCTGGGCGTAGGCCTCTGGTAGTAAATAGCTGGTGCCTTGAAGGATGGGATTGTCCTGGTTGCCTTCGCATTCCCAGGCGCGGTGGAAATCATCCGCATTGGCCAGGCCGCACCTGGGGCACTTGGCGTCAACGTCTGGCCTCTTTGTCTCCTGACATACTCGCTGTCGTGTCCGTGTGCAGCGTCGTCCACCGCGTGCTGCTGTCGTCAGCAAGTGGAGATATGCGTCGACACTGCAACTCTCGAACGACTTCAATCTGGTACTGCGGTCCCTCGGCGCGTGAAGTTCCGCTGAAAAGGGGATCTGGTGGTGTGCACAAATGGAAGTCCCAACAGTCGTGACCCACGTGCCGTAGAGTTGCCCAAGCTGCAGGGCGATGTCAGGCTTGAGCCTAAAGGCTACGGAAGCAGCAGCGGCAGGGGCAGGCCGCGAAGCTTGCGAGGGCAAGACGCTGATTTGTTGCCTGTGAGCACTCCATAACTCTGGGCTGATGTTGAACTCGGGGCTCCTAGTTGGGCACGGGGGCTGGGTCCCCTGGCTAGCGCCAGGGTCGCGGGGGGGGGGGGGGGGGGGTTCACGCGCTGGGCTGTCAATTTACTACATGTTAAACTCGACTGTCTGTCTGCACTGACTGAGAGGCATGGATGACTGTCACGAGAGGCAGAATCATGCAGGGAAAAGCCGTCCTTGTGCTGTTGTTGCAGCTCACCATCAGGGCGGGCGCCAGAACAGGCAAAGGCATCAGGCTGAACATGTTCGCTATGATACTCAGTGTTGAGCGGCGCAAAGCGATGCTGACTGGATAGCAGAGCCTGGCACTCCAATGCTGAGCTTGGCGACATGTCTTTTGTCTCTACGCGAGCGGGGTTCGAGGCAGCAGCAGGCGCATGCGGGCTGAAACTGCTCTCGTGAGTCGTCAGAGCTGTCCGCGAGCTGGGATTCGGCCACATCACTGTCGGACGTTTCACCAGCACTGGTAGACAAATCTGCAGGGTCATTGCCGTGGAAACCGTGGATAAGCGTTTGAAAAAGAGTCTGCCTGTTAGCATCTGTCTTGAGACGGGCTTCCTGTCGGGCTGCTCTGGCACGGCTGGCCTTAGAGCCAGGGGCGGCAACTCTGGGGGGCCTGTTGGCGGCGGGGAGCCGCCTAGGCAGGCCGAGCACTCCCAGTCAGGAGCTGGTCTCCTGTTTGAGCGAGCCTAATTCGCAAACATATGTGAGGTTTCCATGGTATGTCATGCACAGCGGAAACGTCGACCAGGTAAGGGCGGGCAGCAGCGCAATGAACAACGAAATCCAAATGCGATGGCTTACGTCCGCCGCCAGGGTCGTACGTGTATTCCACGGGGGCGCAAAGGATCTCCCCTTGGACCTGCTGGAGAAAGCTTGTCCTACTGAGAGCTTCGGGGCTGAGGTTCCAGTCCCCGACGACAAACCATGGGAGCTGGAGGGGCCTGAGGAGGCTCCCGAGACGCCTAAAGCGGGCGACATTGGGCCCTCTCAGGCCTATGCTACAGAAAGCGTAAACGAACACAGCTACAATGGAGTACCCCTTGAGGTGAATCACCACGGGGAGGAAACCATCGAGGCTGCTGGGGGTGGGAAGACACTGGAGCCCTTTGGCCTGGAGGCACTCTAAAGGGGATGGGCGCGGAGGTGCCCTCTGGGAAGAAACCACTCTCCTCCCTCATTGGCATGCTCAGGAGCGACTGTACATTCACTGGTGGAATGGTGTAGCCTCCCAACTTCCTGATCAACCTGAGGAGGTCTCGCAGGGTTGGCGAAGAGCCGACGATTGATATCTCGACATCGTGCCTTCCACTTGCCAGCGCTGCCGTCACTGATGTGTGTCTCCACAAAAGCAACGAAGTCGTCCGTAGATGTCTTGACCCAGTCGAACGTCTTCTGGCCTGCACATGTGATGTTCCCAAAGAACAAAGTAGAGGATGTACCGGTACTGGTAGTGGCTGCCACGGCGTCGTGAGCGGCAGGGGCGCTCGCCGTGCCCGCAGCTGATAGTGACCCTGCTGTGCCTAGTCACTCGGAGTGAGCTCGACCGTTGCGCCTGCCCTTGCCCTTGGCGCTGGCCTTGGCGGCAGGATCTGCGGACGAGTGGCGTCGGCGGCGGCCGCCTGGGCTGCGAACCTAGCGGCCGAGAGCTTGGCGGCCTCGGCCGCCAGCTGCTGGTCGGCGCCCTTGGTAGGCGCGGCCTCGGCGGGGCTGGCGCTCACGCCGCCATCGGCTGAGCTGCCTTCGGCGCCAGCCACGCCACTGGAGCCCCGTGGCGGGGTGGCTGCCTCGTCGGCCTGCCCAGGAGTGCCGCCGTTGGTCTGGCCGTCAGCCCCCTTGCGCTTCTTGGCGTACCTGGCCTCCCGGGGGCTGCGGGCCTCGCGAGCCCTCTTGATGAGGCTCGTGACCAGCGGTCCTTTGGTAGCGAACTGCTGCTGGAGGTCCTCCAGCCCTTTCTTGATGGCGTCGAGCTCCGCCTGCTCGGCTTCGGTGAAGTCGAGCTCGTCGATCTGCTTGAAAAGGTCGGGGTCCCACTTGACCGCGAAGGGCTCCTGAGGCCCGTCGCCCTGGGCACCCTGGGAAGTCGGGTCGCAGCGGCCGACTCCCTCTGCCCTGGCGAGAGCCTCCGCCGCGCGCCTCTTGGCCTGCTCCGTGCGAGCGACCTCGAGCGTGGCGGCTTGCTCCTTGGACTCTGCAGCCTCGAGCGCCTTGCGGAGCCTGATGACATTGCTGACGACCTGGTTGTGATGGTTCGTGGCTGCCCGCCACGCGCCGCCGGCCTTCCTGATCGCCTCGACCTCGCTCTCCTGGGCCACGACGACGTCGGGAGCGCCCAGCCGCTGCACCTGGGCGTGGAGGACCGCCTGCAAGGCTGGGTCGGTGGCGATGGCCATGGCCTGCCGCAAGTGAGCGGCCAGCTCGGCGTTGGACGTCGTTCGCGGCTTGGCGCCGACTGCCTGGGCACCGCCCTCGATGTTCACAGCCTGGTCGGGGAATTCGATGACCTCCTCGGACCCGAAGCGGACGACGCTGGGGCTGCGTGAACGAGAGCGGTGCAACTTCATGGGCCTGTGGCACCTGGAGCAGACTGGATGAGTGGGGCTGAGGCGGTCATTGTACTCGCATGCGTTGCACCCTTTGCATCGACTCCATAGGCGGGTGGACCCCACCACTTGCCGCCAGGGTGCGCCCTCAGCTGCGGGAGCGTGGCGCGTATGGCGCCCCATGATGTCCCAGCGTTAGTCAACCGTAAAACCTGAACAAGAATGGACAGGAGCACGGAAGTCCCTCAAGCACCTCGTGGAGGTCCTGGGACAGCCCTGGGGAAAAGGCCAGGGCCGAAAAGGCTTGAGGGAGGAGGAGGAGGAGGAGGAGGAGGAGGAGGAGGAGGAGGAGGAGGAGGAGGAGGAGGAGGAGGAGGAGGAGGAGGAGGAGGAGGAGGAGGAGGAGGAGGAGGAGGAGGAGGAGGAGGAGGAGGAGGAGGAGGAGGGAGGAGGAGGAGGAGGAGGAGGAGGAGGAGGAGGAGGAGGGAGGAGGAGGAGGAGGAGGAGGAGGAGGAGGAGGAGGAGGAGGAGGAGGAGGAGGAGGAGGAGGAGGAGGAGGAGGAGGGAGGAGGAGGAGGAGGAGAGGAGGAGGAGGAGGAGAGGAGGAGGAGGAGGAGGGGAGGAGGAGGAGGAGGAGGAGGAGGAGGAGGAGGAGGAGGAGGAGAGGAGGGAGGAGGGAGGAGGGAGGAGGGAGGAGGGAGGAGGGAGGAGGGAGGACTAGGGGGGGGGTGGATCTCACGGCGGGGGCCATGATGTTCCCCAGATTTCATGGCGCCTCTTCTTATTTCATGACGTCCCTGCCCCCCCCGCTGGGCCGCGCACATGCCGCCATGCCGCCGGTCATGATTTGCACCACCACCCCTCTTGGACACCCCCCTCTTGGCCGCTCAGGACAAGAAGCCTAGCCATGCTCTTCAGTCCCTGCCGGTCACCCGTCCCATCAGCAACATGTGGGTGGCGAGCGAAGTGCGGGTGGTCGTGAGGATCTTCGCAATCTACGACATGACCCCCACAGACGAGCAGCTCGACCCGTACATCACGCTCCACCTGAGCTGCCCGGGCGGCGAAGACGTGGTGAAGAGGTGCGACGAGCTGAGCCCCGTTGCCCCGGGCAGCGATTTCATGAGCGTCTATTGGGAGACGGAGATCTTGACAACGCTGCCCGGCAGCGGAAACCTCGCCATCAAGCTCTGGCGAAAGGCGTCCGCCGTCTCGGGCTTCCTGGGAGGCAAGGACACGGAGCTGGGCAGCCTCGTCCTGGACCTGGAGGACAGGCAGCTCGCGCTGGCACAGAGGGAGTTCCGCATCGGCACGAACCAGCACAGGCTCAACGGGCTGGTGTCCCCGCCCGAGATCATCTCGGTCGTCCGGCCTTCCCCGGCCGACCTGGCCGGCGAGCATGGAGAGAAGGTCTTCAAGGCTCGGGGGCGGCAAAGAGGGTGGATATCATGGCGTGGGCCATGATACGGTAGAGGGAAACAATTATTGAACACTCCCCCTCCCCCCCAAACTCAACGTTGGCACGCGCGGGGGAGACTGCGGTCGAAGTGCATCTCATCAGACCCACCGCCAACTTTGAACATTGGGGGAAGGGGGAGGCGTTGACGGATGAATGTGGCATGTGTTCGCTAATTTGTTCCGAGGCCTGTATCATGGCGTGGGCCATGATATCTCCCCAGACTTCATGTCGCCTCTTCTCGTTTCGTTACGTCCCTGGCCCCCCTTTGGGCCGCGCACATGCCGCCGGCCATGATTATTTGCACCCCCCCCTCTTGGCAGCCCCCGAAAGGCAGAGCTCATGCGCAAGGAGAAGGCCAAGGGCCTGCAGATGAACATCAAGCCCAGGAGGTCGCCCAACCCAGCGGCTCCGATCGAGTATCGGGACCTGATGGTGGTGCAGGTACCAGGCTGCCCGGAGCAGAAGATGGGAACCCTGAAATTCTGCACCGAGATCATGGATCCAAAGGAACTCTACCAGCCGTTGAAGTTGACTCGGGCACTCAAGAGGGTCCACATAAAAATTTCAGTCAAGGAGGTCAACAACATCGATGTCTTCAGAGACAATGGACTTCGCAATGACGTGAGAATCAAAGGCAACCTTGTAGCACGCAACTGGTTCGGCTATCAACTGCCACCACAGTCTCGTGCGACAGACACCCATAAATGGGCGCACCGACGTGCAACCTTCGACTTTGTGTGGCACTTTGTTGTTGACTACCCCGTCGGGGCTGCATCACTAAAAGTCAGCATGGTAGACGTGAGCACTTTTAGGGGCGAGAGGCAGATCTACAGGCCAGAGGTGTTTCCCATGGACGCTCTCCTATCGGCTTTCTCCGCGGGGCCTGATAATGTTTCTTTCGGCGAGAATCTCGTGTTCACTGCGTGGCCTGATGATTATTCCGAGCATGCCAAGTACATCAATGGAATGGGGTGTTTCCGTCTGGCATGCTACAGGTTAGGGAAATGCCTCAGCTGCTGCATACCCGGCTGCTGTAGGCGCAACGCTAACGTGCCACGACCTAAGCCTGCGAAGTTGAGTTTGATGATTTCCATGGCAAAGGTGGCAGATGACTATGTCCTCCAAAGCGAAGTGGAGAAGCCCCCTGAAGAACCCGAGGGCAGAGTTAATTGGACGACAGGGTTCAGAAGCCCCGGCACTCTGGCCAAGGCCGTCATCGGCAATGCGAATATAGATTCGTGCCAGTACCTCATGGGCACTCTGTGCTGCATAATCTGCGTTCTCATTCTTATAGTCGTGCTTTACTTCGTGTTCACGCTCATCAGCCAGTACGAGTCAAACTAGGCGGGTGACTCGCACTTATCCTGAAGGGATACACATCTCCTCCAACCCCAAACGAGGGTATTCGCGACGATACCTTGGGTTGCAGGGTGCCCTGAAGAGGGCAGAGTGTTGCCGAGGATGAGAGGAGAAAGATTGTAGAAGTACCAGGAAGAAGAATGACGAAGGTCAGGGGCAGGTGGGAACCTTGAGCCTGGTGTTGCGGACAGAGCGTACAATGAGCAGACGAATTTTCTAACCAGAGCGCCGCGTGGGCCATGCGAGTGCCCAGCTGGGCCAAAGTTTGGACGTTCATGTGCCCAAGCACGTCTTCGGCACCGCCTGCTCCCCGGGCCCCGACCGCTCCGGCCGCCTGAGGCCCCGCCTTCCTGTGCCCTGTCTCCTTAATTAAAGCTGTGCGTAGCCCGCCTAGCTTTTAGCGGAAGAGGTTCGCTCTCGCCCCGCAGGTCAAAATGTGCCCAGGCACGTGGTGTTCTCTTGTGAACCGTCTTGAGTCTCGGGGCCCTTTCGATCACTCGTGCAACTGGCTGCAGTGTTGGGCCCCTTGGGCCTCGAACGCCACTGCGGCCCCAGGGCCCTCCCTGCGCCTTCCTCCTCCTCCTCCGAGCCCTCTTGGGCCGCTTGGGGCCCTCCTGGGCTCTTCTCTGGGCTTCTTCGGAGCCCCCTCGGGGCCCGGATTCCTTCGGATCCTTCTGGGGTCGCATTCAAGTCTCTGCTAGTTTCTGGAGGTCAGCGGGAAAGATGTGCTGCTCTGTGCAATGGTTCGGGCTTCTCGAGCCTTCCCTAGGAGGCTCCCTTGCCGTATTGGCGTCGTTCTGTTGGCCAACCGGGACCATCGCGGAGGACATCTTGGCCTGTGTTTGACGATCTCGGACGGTATTGGAGGTCATCCCGGGATGTCTCGGGACGTGTTGGAGCCACCTTGGGCCATGTGGGATCCTTTTGGGGGGCTCGAATGTAGCTTCCCAGCGTTTTCAAGTCTGAGGTGCGTTCGCGAGCTCCCAGGCCCCCCCTTCTCTCCAATGGGATTGTGGGAGGAGGAGGCGGAGGAGGAGGAGGAGGAGAGGAGAGGAGAGGAGAGGAGAGAAGAGGGAGGAGGAGGCGGAGGAGGGAAACAGTGTGTAATCACGAGTTTAAAAAGGTTTGATCTGGATTAAACCTTTGTGAAGTTGTACCTGCAGTGCCTCACCACAGGAAAGGGTTTACTCCAGATTAAACCTCTCTGCATCTGAAGCGCCCCTCTGGTCACCATTTCGCCTCTTCTCTAATTCCGCGGCGCATGCTCTTTTCACTTCCTGGGCCCCGTGCTCGAAACATTATCGCCCTGGGGCTGGCCATTTACGGCGGCGCAGTCGCTCTATTCATTTGCCTTTCGGGCTTTTTGTCGCCAGGGCTTACTTCCTGAAGTCGCGCCGGCTTCTCTGCAATCGACTTGTTTTCCAATCCAGTTCCACAACCTGTCACGTTTTGGACGACTTTTCGTCAGGCTGCTCAGGGGGGTGATGTTTGGGTCTCGTAGTTTTAGTTTCGCCGCCCTCCTCTCGCCCTGCTGTCTGATTATTGAGTCACCCGGTCATTGAGCCACCTTTCCTCGCTCTTCAGTTTTTTTTTTGCTCCGAAGGTTGTTTTGCTTGGGGCTGCTGGCTCTCTGGTTACGTCGGCCCTTTTTTCGGATACGAACGCTCTCTTGCCATGAATCCCTTCTGCTTTAGTTTTGCAATGTTTCTGGCTCTGGAGGCTTGTTTGTATGGAACGAGTTCGGCCCCTGGTTCCATCGCACACATTCGGTGGCCCCAGGCGCACGCGGCGGACGCAAGCGCGAGCAGTCGCCGCGCCGCCGCTTGGCTCGCGCGCGCCGCGGCGCGCCGCAGGCGATGTGGGCAGGCCCGCGCGCCCCCGCGCGCGGCCGCTGCCCGCCGCGGCCGCGCGCAGGTACCACAGGTACCGATTCCCTCGGCGTTTTGCCGGACTCGAAAAGATGCCAGGACGACTTCCCGTTACTCTGCTAGTGACTACGGGACCTCATTAGGTCCAGTCTGCGCTTCGGCCTAACGAGGTCGTTGCAGGTGCGATTCGACGCCAACGCCGCATCCGAGCGTGGGCCGCGTGCGAACGACCGAACGTGGTCAACTTAGACGCAAGTCGACGTCTACGCCGCAGCCGTCCGACGTTAGCAAGCGCACGACCGAACTAGGTCCGATTAGACGCAATTCGACGTCTACGCCGCATCCGAACGAGGATAGCGAGCGAACGACCGAAAGAGGTCAAATTAAGACGCAAGTCGACGTCTACGCCGCATCCGACGAGGATAGCGAGCGAACGACCGAACAAGGTCCGATCAGACGCAATTCGACGTCTACCCCGCATCCGAACGAGGATAGCGAGCGAACGACCGAACGAGGCCAAACTAAGACGCAATTCGACGTCTACGCCGCATCCGAACGAGGATAGCGAGCGAACGACCGAACTAGGTCCGATTAGACGCAATTCGACGTCTACGCCGCATCCGAACGAGGATAGCGAGCGACCGACCGAACGAGGTCAGATTAAGACGCAATTCGACGTCTACGCCGCACGTGTGGCGCGCGAGCGAACTTCCGAGCGGGGGCTGTTCCGACGCGATTCGACGTCTACGCCCCTTCCGTGCACGCTTAGCGTGCGTCATTTAGGTGGCCAAACGAGGCCCGCGTGCACGTGGTCGGCTTCGGTGCGCGAGCTGCAGCCGAGCGCGGACAGAGTGCGCACGAGCGCGTCATACGCGTTAACAGGCGGCGCCCGCTCGCACCCATGGCGGATTTGCAAGCTTTTCTGTCTGGAGTCGACGCGCGCGCAAAGCGCGGCGAGGAATGCCTCCGCGACGTCATTGCAGCACTTCGCGCGAATTCTGTCACGGCGAGCGCCGCGCGCTTTCTCGGTCCGTCTGTCGCGCGCAGCGCGTGCCAGGTTGAACAAGACCAAGTCGGGCTCAACATTCATGAGAGTTCGTTCGGCAAGGGCGGCCTCGACGGTGGGGAGGTAGCCTTCCTCGACCGCGCCGTCGAGCGTGCCGCAGAGAACGCCGCCAGGGCCGAGGCGGGGCGCATGGCCGCCGCCCGCGGCGACGACGGGGCGGCGCGGGGGTCGAATGACCTTGTCGCTGCGCTAGTGGACGCACTCGCGCGCAAGCCGACTGCGGCGCGCACGTCGACATCGGCGCGAAGCTGGGCGACATCCGCCTCAGCGATTTGCCGTCTGCTTGCTGGCCGTCGCCGGCGTCGTGCGACTGGCTCGACAGCCAGGCGCCCACGCGCGCGCGGTGTATCGCTCAGCGTTCGCACGCGGCGCTTCGGAGCGGCGCAGGTCAAAGCGGCCCAAGCGAAGGGGATCGCGAAACCGTTGATTTACAGCGATTTGAAGAAGTGGCTGCCACACTGGGCGGTGGAGAAGCGCGGCGGTCAGGACGGCGCGGGCGCGAACAAAGAAGGCGCGCTCTTTCGGCGCGCGCATTCTGGGCGGAGCCGCAGCCTCGCGAGGGCTGTCGCTCATGCCCTGGTCGGTCGCATTCGACCGGTGGGCCCTGGCCGCGAGCTTCGCGGGCCAGATTGAACTGGCCGCCGCGATGGCGCACAAGGACGTCGTCATGCAGATCGCACTGCCGGCGAACTCCCTTCCCTAGTCTCGCGGCCGAGGCCGGCCGCCGCCCGCGCGCGTTGCGGGCAGCCGCGCGGGGTGCACAAGTCCACAGCCCTGGCGGTCATCTATGACGAGCTGGCCAGGCGGGAGTGGGCCGATCGCGCCAGTGGCTCCAGCTCCTTTAACGTCAACCGCGACGCGCTGCAGTAAGAGCAGAGCCTGTACATGCGCGCCGAGCGCGAGTACACGGCTCGCGGGCATCCCAACCTCTCCGATCGGCAGCAGAAGGGCATCCCCATGCGGAGTTCAAGGGGAAAGGCAAGGGCAAGTCCCAGCATGCCGAGAGCGACAAGGGCTGGGGCAAGTCCTGGGAGCCCAAGAGCTGGGGCAAGTCCTGGGAATCGCGGGCCCACGCGATGGGCTAAGGCAAGCACGACGCAGCGCGGGGCACAGAGCAGCCGCGCACGCCGAAGCGCAAGCGCGAGGATTGAGGCGCTAGCACCGTCGCGCGGCTGGCAGCGCGCGCTCGCGCGCGGAAAGCGCGCCCAGGCTTGGCGGAGCGCGAGAGCGCGGGCATGCCCGCGCCGAATTTGCCAGATGGCAGGTCTCTCTCTGCATCACAGGCGCGGCGCGCTTCCGTCGCGCGCGGGCGCCCCGAACCCTCGGGGGCCGTCGGCCGGCAGGCGCGGGCGCTAGTGGCGGCCTCTGGGGCAACGTGCCCGTCGGAAGACCGGAGCGCGCCAGTGCCTGACGGGCGGAACGCTGCAAGCAGTGCCGCGGCGGGCTCGTGGCTCCCGCGTTTTGAAGAATTGGCGTCCAGCGCCGAGGCGGAGAGCGCGGCCGCGATGCCCCGCGCCCTCCGCGCGCCAGCGCCGCAGCGTCGCAGGGGGAAGACATGGCAAAGATCGACTTTGTCATTAATGCCGCGTCGAAGGGCACGGCGTGGTTTCAAGTCGCCGCGCCCCTGCACGACGATCTCCGCGCCTGTGTCGACTGGGCAAAGTCGCGCAGTTGCCAGCAGGCGCGACAGTCGCAACTCGCGCGCGCCACCCCGCACGCGCCGCGCGGCAGATCTTCAGCGAAAGGGAGGCCGCGATTACAGCCATAGAGGCGCGCTGCCGCGAGTCGAGACGTTCGGGGGCCCAGCGGGCCTGGCTGGACGGCGTGGGCGCGGCGGCCAGAGCCGCAGTCTCCGAGGTCGACGGCCCGACCCTAGGCGCCATCGCGACCAAGATCGGTTGGGCCGACGACGTTGACCGCCTATTCCGCGAAGGGGCGCCGTTCGCGGGCGCGCTGCCAGGCTCCCGCGTCGCCGAGCGTCGCGTGGCCCGCGAAGAGCGCGAGCCCGTCAGCGATCTGATGGGCCGCGCGGAAGCGCAGAATGCGGCGAT